ATATTTTCTCCCATCCCATAGGTTTCTTCATGTTGTTGATTGTTTATTTTGCTGTGCAGAGGCCTCCTTCTTTTAAAGATAACCGCCAATAGTCTCACATCATTCATACTTTTAGCCCATTGGCTGGAAACTACAGAAATGGCCTTGCCAACATGCAAAGAAGACTGAGCCATACCTTTACTCTGGGTGACTTACTCAAATACCAGAAAACCAGATGTTCTTTTGTAAAGGAGGAGCCAGGGCAGATACCACATAAAAATAGTACTCTCTGTTTCACTCCTTCACTACCTGTGGGACTTTGGGCAAAAATTTCTTCTGATGAATATTCTCATTCTTTAAGATAATACCTCCTTTGTGGGAACTATTTTGTTTCACCTCTCAGCAGCATCTGTCACTGCTCCCCGTGAGCTCTTTCCTGAAACAATCCGTGTTTCCTGAGACGTTCATGGTGTGATACTGTCTTGATTTTCCTCCGATCTCTCTGGCTCTTCTCACCTCTTGTTGTTATTGTTGCCTCCTCACCCTCTGTCTCTTAGTGTTCCTACTGGCTCTGTCCTGGGGCATCTTCATTCCTCACTTCCCACTTTACCCATCCTTCTCACTGTTCCACATGGTGAAATAAAGTATAACACATGTTTATTCAATACTTTCTATATCTAACTCAGAACTGGGAATACTTTATATATAGACTCTAATTTCTTCCCATCAACAACTCCAAAGGTCGGTGCCATATCTACTCTCATGTTTGACACGGAGGCTGATGTGATTTGTCTACACTTAGATTGTGCTGGGAGTGAACTCTAGTCCAGGCTACCTGTTTTTGAGCTTACTACTACATCCCACCCATCAAAACCAAAACTAAATACCACATCCCATGCGTATACTCAGTGCCTACTGTATAGCCCTGCTTGACTATCTTGCAAGCACATCAAACTCAAGATGTCCCACAGTAAACTCATACTTCTTTCAGGAGTTATTTATTGAGCACTTACTGTATGCCAGGTGTCGGTCTAGGTGCTGAATCTACCAACGTAACCTAAAAATACAATCTCTGACTTGATGAAATTTACTGTGTAGTTAGGGAGACAAAGATTAAACAATCAGCAACCACTGTGATCAGCACTATTAAGAAACATAAAGCAGAGTAAGTAGACAGAGAAAGATGGAGAGGGCCATGTAGTAGGTAGAATAATGGCTCCACAAAGATGTTGACTTCACCCACCTAACCCTGGAAACTGCAGATGTGTTTCACAATATGGAAAAAGGGGTTTTGCAGATGTGATTAAGATTAAGGATCTTTAGATGGGGAAACTATCTAGAACTATGTAGACGGACCCAATAAAATCATATGGGCCCTTAAAAGTAACAGAGGAAGGCAAAATGGTGAGTCAGAGAGATATGACAATGACAATGGAAGAAGAGTCAAGAGACAAAGTGTGAGAGGGACCTGCCCCACTGCTGGCTTTGAAGATGGAGGAAGGGGCTGCAAGGCAAGGAATGTAGCAGCCTATAGAGGCTAGAAACAGCCTTTAGTTACAATAAGCAGAAAACAGGGACATCAGCCCTACATCCACAAATAATGAAATTCTGACAAAAGCATGAATGAATAGAAAACAGATTCTGCCCCCAGAGTCTCCAGAAAGTAGCACAGCCTTGCCAATACCCTGATGCTAGCCTGGCAAGCCCTGTGCCAGCTGACCTACAGGACTACAAGCTAATAAACTGGTGTTTATCAGGGCACTAAATTCTGATAATTTGTATGGCAGCAAGAGAAAACAAATGCAAACTATTAAGTAGGGTGGTTGGAGAAGACCACTCTAAGCAGAGACCTGCAGAGATACCTGGGGGAAGACCTTTCTGGACCCAAAGGAATAACCCTGAAGTGAGAGGAGTTTAGAATATCTGAGGAACAGCAAAGAGGCCAAGGTGGCTGGAGTGAAGGGAGAGCAGTTGGTGCTGAGATGGCAGGAGAGGCCAGGGGCCAGCACATGTGAAACTCTGTAGGTCATGGAGGTTTGGGCTTATTCTAACCATGATGGGAAGACACTCTGGCAGTGGAGGGACACAAACTGCTTATATGCTTAAAAGTCTCCCTGTGGGTGTTATAATGAGAGTAGACTGAATAGGATAAGAGGAGAAGCAAGGAAGTTCAGTTAGGAAGCATTTTTTACTGTTATTCAATAATCTAAGTAAAGAAAGAAGACAACTTGAACCCAGGTGGAAGAGGCAAAGTCATGAGAAGTAGTCACATATAGGATATATTTGAATTTTTAAAAAATCTTTCAATGTGTATTTTTGAGAGAGAGACAGAGTGTGAGCAGGGGAGGGACAGAGAGAGATGGAGACACAGAATCTGAAGCAGGCTTCAGGCTCTGAGTTGTCAACACAGAGCCCAACATGGGATCACAAACCATGAGATCATGGCCTGAGCCAGGTAGACACTTAACCGACCAAGCCACCCAGACACCCCAATATAGGATATATTTGAAAGTTAGAGTCCACTATATTTTCTGATGGCTTAGAAGGAAGGTGGGAAAGAGAAGCAGCAACTGAGCACATGGTGATGCCGGTTACTGAGATGGGGAAAATCATAGAAGAAAGTTGGGGGATCATGAGTTTGGTTGTGGACATATTAAGTTTGAGATGCTATTTAGCTGTTCAAGTCAAGATGTCAGATAACTGTTAGGTACGTGAGTTTGAAGTTCAGGGACAGTTTGGGCTAGAGGCATGTAGTAGAATAATGTCCTCCACCCTGGAGATGTTGACGTCCTGATCCTCAGAATCTACAAGTGTGTTATGTTACATGCCAAGGGGCGGGGGTAGGTTAAAGTAGCAACCCAGCTAATCTTAAAATAAAAAGATATTCTGGAATTATCTGGGTGAGTCCAACGTAATCGAAGGTTCTTAAATGGGATGAGAGAGGGACAGGACTCAGAACAAGAGAAAGATCAACATGAAACAGATTCAACTGGCCAGTGTTGGCTTTGAAGAAGGGAGAAAAAAAAAAAAAAACCACAGTTGAAGGAATACTGGTAACCTCTAGAAGCTGGAAAAGACAAGGGAACATATTTCTGCTGATAGCCTCCAGAAAGGAACAGAGTGCTGATGACACCTTGATTTTGGCCCAATGAGACTCATTTCCAACTTCTGATCTTTCAGAACTATAAAACAATGAACTTTGATGTTTTAAGTCACTAAGTTCATGGTAGGTGATTTTGTTAGAGCAGCAACAGGAAACTAATATAAGTCATAATTTCACCGAAACATGTTTTTTTTTCATCAGTGTACCCTATTGGTAAATGGCATAAACCTCACCCATACGTTCAAGGCAGAAACATGTCATTTTTAGTTCCTTCCTCTCCTTCATGCTCTGATCTAATCAACATCAAGTTCTCTCCAGATTCTACTTATAAATATTTACTCAAAGTTACCCACTGTACTAGTTCTCTAATACAGATCATCATCATCATCATCATCATCATCACCTTCTTTCTTCGGGAGGGAAAAAGGAGACAGTACATAACCATCATTCTCCATTTAGCAGCCAGAACAAGCCTTCCAAATTGAATACTTCTGGTAATTACTCCTCTCCTGAAACTCTTCAATGCCTTGCTGTCTCACTTGGAATAAAGCCCAAACTGCTTGACATGCCTTGCCTCTGTCCTCAGCCTTACTTCCTGACCCTCACCCTCATACCAACCGCAGAGCCTAGAAAGCATTTGGAGGCCTCCTCACTTGCCACTGGCCTTCCCTGTCCCATGACCCTCTCATAGAAAAGGCTCCAATGTTCAGCATCCTCTCCCATTCCCTATCAGGGCCCAACTTATCCCCTTCAAATCGTTCCTGATCTCCTAAATTACCAGCACCTTGTCATTAGAATCTTTAACTTTTGCTTCAAAATACTCATCACAATGATTGGTGCTCTGTTTGTCTCAGGAGAACAGGGCTTTGCCTCACCTGTTCACTACTCCCATCTCCATTCCCAGCACCCAGCAAACAGGAGGTAAAGATTTGTGAAATAATAACTGCTCACTAAAGACCTGAAAATCACTATCTTTAAAATCTCTACAATGATTCCTGTGTAATTTTTAGTAACTATTTCCTTTATAAAATACTTAAAATACAATGCTCAGATACTTTAAAAAATGTTATACCTTTGTGCAATCACCATTTTTCACATTCTTGACTCACCCGCGCCCCTTTGGAAATGGGCAGTAAGAGGTAGGTGGGAGAATGACTTTATTTTAATTTTTCTTACATTTACAGTGTCATTCAACATGTAGTTACTGAGCACCTTCTATATGCAAATAGCTAAGTGCTGAGAATACAGTAAGTGAATAAACAGTCACAGTCTCTGTGTTTAAGGAGTTTGCATTCTAGAGTATGTATAAGGTGAGGGGAAATCAAAAAGTAAACCGAAAATTATATACAGCATGTAATAAGAGCCAAGGTCAGAAAAGTGGGTAGCTAAGTTTATGGGAGTGTATGTAGTGTTAATTTTCTAGAGTAATCGGGAAAGCTATTCGAATAAACCAACATCTGAGCAGGAACCAATAGCACATGTGGAGTCCGTATCGGGTCACAGTGGAGCATACAAGATCAGAAATTTCGTTTTCCAAATTCAAATCGCAGGTGACCAGTTAAGGGGTATGCGACTAAACCAGATATACTAGGCCCTCTGAGTCGGCTTCCTAGCTGTAAAAGGATAATACCGTAAACCTCGCCGGCTTGTTGGGTGAAAATTCTCAGCAAGCAAATACAAAGCCGAAATTCTTTGGGAAAGCTCAGACTCCTGGAAAGAACCCCGGAATCCTAAGGGCAGGCTCAGACTCCGGGAAAGAACCCTGGGAAAACCCAACCACCTCACAGCAGGAGAACCGCCCTCTGGCCGGAGTACAGCCGGTGATTGGCTGCTCGCTCCTCCGTCCCGCCCTACCCGGTCACCAAGTGGGCGGTCCTCTTGACGCTATGATGACGCGTTACGTCAAGGTGTGCGGAAGTTCCGGCCGCTGTTTTGAAATCCGGCCGCTGGAGTCTTACCGGCGTCCCTTTCCGCGGAGGCCGGCCGCAGCCCAGCACCCGGCGGACCGGGACCCCTGACGCCTGCTCTCCGGCCCCGTCGGCCTACGGCCGCAGCCTCACCATGTCCACCCCTCCGTTGGCGGCGTCGGGGATGGCGCCGGGGCCCTTCGGCGGGCCCCAGGCTCAGCAGGCCGCCCGGGAGGTCAACACGGCATCGCTCTGCCGGATCGGGCAGGAGACGGTACAGGACATCGTGTACCGCACCATGGAGATCTTCCAGCTCCTGAGGAACATGCAGGTGGGAAGGAAGGCGGGCGTGCTCCGGGCCGAGCGTGGAGAGAGCGGAATGCTTCTTGGAGGAAAGGGGCGCTGGCTTAGTCGTTACGTGAGGCCCCTGAGTGTCAACGGGGCTGCCCTGGGCAAACCTCAATTATAGGGTCGCTCTGTTGGCATTCAGAAGTATTCCCCCAATGCTGTGCCTGCCGCCAGGATTCCGAGATGTAATGGTGATGTTTTCTAGGTAGGAATCTTTCTGAAAGATTGAAGCCTCATGTTTTACATTCCCCAGATTCTCTAGTTACTGGGCAAACTCTTGTACCTTTCAGGGTAAAGAGGAGTCTCTCACTCTGTTAACTACATTAGACTGGCTTAACTTTCATCACTTTTTCAAACAAAATACTGAGGGACTAAGCTGAAGAATTCAGATTCTGCTACCCAGTTTTGTTAAACATTTTTCTTTTGGTATAATTGGCATACAGTAAAATGCATTAACTTAAAGTTTTGACATGTGTATATGCTTAGGAAACCATCATCCGTCACCTCAAAACGTTTCCTCATGTACTCTGGCCTTCCATACGCAGGCAACTTCGGATACTTTCTGCACCATAAATGCGTTTGTATTTTCTACGGTTTCATATCAATAGAATCATACACTATGTCGTTTATTGGTTTTGATTTTGTTTTTTTGGTCTAGCTTCTTGGACTCAGCATATATCAGTAGTTCATTCCTTTTGATTGTTGAGTGGTATTCCATTTTATCAGTATATCGCCAGTTTGTGTATCGCTTCATCTGTTGATGGTCATTTGGGCTGTGAAGAACACTATGAATGTTCACCTAACAAATGTTTGTGTGAACATGTGTTTCATTTCTCCTAAGTGGATAGATAGATGCCTAGAGTGGAACTGTTGGGTAATAGGGCAAATATCTCTTTAACATTTTGAGAAACTTTTCCAAAATGACCGCACCATTTCTACAATTCCCACCAGTGTTTGAAGGTTCCAGTTTCTCCTCATCCTTGACATCCTTTGTTATTGTATGTCTTTTTGCTTTGCAGATGCTTTCTCCCAGTCTGTGGCTTTTCATTCTCCTCACATTGCCTTTTGAAGAAGAGACATTTTAAATTTTGATGAAATCTAACTTATCAATTTGTTCTTTTACAGATTTTGCTTTTGACATCACACCTAAAAAAGATCTTTGCCTAACCCAAGATGAAAAAGAGTTTCTCCTATGTTTTCTTCTGGAAGTTTTATAGTTCTAGGTTTTACATGTAGGTCTACGATGCACATTGACTTATTTTCTTGTATATAATGATATATAAGGATCCAAGGGCATTTTTTTTTTTGCATTTGGATATCCAGTTGTTTCAGCACCATTTCGCTTATCATACTACTTAATTTTAATGCTTGTGTATCTTACTGCTATGCATATGCATGTCATTCTTGTTCTATGAGGCTTCTGCCAGAGAGGTGAAGTGACTTGTGCAAAGCGAGTCAGTGATAGGGTAAATTTGAAACCAGGTCTTCAGACTCTTACAACTCTGATTTCAGTAATGTGCTGTAATGTCAAAGTAGTACAGGTGCATAGAAAATCTTTGCACCATGTCAATATCCCCATATGAAACACAGTACAAAGAGAATCTAAGATTATCTTTGGTAATTATTTTAAAAATTAATAGATTAATATCTAAAATATTTAAGTACTATTAAATGATTTTTTAGAATTTAGTCAATATTTATTTTTAACCTCCTGTATGCAAAGTACTGAATTAGGACTAGTAGATCTTCTGGCTAACATTTATCAAGTACTTTCCTTAGTCAGGTAAACATGTAGGAACAGTTCTAAGAAATATTTTTATCCTTGTTAGTTAAGGAAACTGAGGCTTAAATAGAGAAGAACTTACCAAACATCATACATAACTGGTAGTTTTTCCTACTAATCACTTTATAATACTAACTTGCTGTCAAACACTTTGTATTATTAACATATTATTAACAGAGATATAATACACACCATGACCTACACTGAAAGAACCAAAGTCTTTTAAAAGGTCATGGTCTCATGGTTAGTGAATTCAAGCCCCACGTTGGGCTCTGCGCCGACAGTGTGGAACGTGCTTTGGATTCTCTCTCTCTCTCTCTCTCTCTCTCAAAGTAAATAAGTTAGAGAAATTTTTTAAAAGTATTTTCAGTAACTGTATTACATGTGGACATATACCCAAACCAATGTGTAAGGGATTATGATAGTTATTCCTTTGTGCCTCTTATATTGTGACTTCTGGGGTTTAACTCCAGTAAGACTTTGAGGCCTGTCATAATTGGCAGAAAAAGAAGCAACAATGTGATCTTTCATAAGTGGCACAAACAGGATTACATCTAACCTAGTTAATTATTAACGTTTTTAAAGTCTTAAAAATTTTTTAATTACCTTCAATATTATTAATCCAGAAGGATGAAGTGCCATAAATACAAACTCCTGAGATTATTTCTAAGTGTTTTAGAGAAGTGGTTATCAGGTCTCCACTAGCCCCTAAAGAATTTGATGGAAAAGTATGGATTCTCTTCTGAGAAAAATGTACATCTATATATTCTGGATAAAGTTTGAGGGGGAATTTTCTTCAAGGATTGCTAGGTTCCCTGCATAAGAAAGTATCGCTTTGGTTTTATCCTTTAAATATGAAAAAAAATTTTAATATGTAATGCATTCAGAATTCAGAAATTTAAAAAGGACATTACAGCGAACAGTATTGTTCCCATCCCTGTCTGCTCGCTGTCTAACCCTTTCCCCAGGCAATCAATGTTAATGCTTTTTATTATTCTTATGTATCCCTCTAGATATTCAATGCATATTTTAGCAAATGTGCGTGTTTATTCTTTCATTTTTTTCCCGCTTTTGCACAAATAACAGTATATTATACACAACACTTTGCACCTTGCTTTTTTCACTTGGTATATTTTGGATTTGTTGATATCTGCACAGAATATATTTCCTTTTAGGGTGTATTTACAGTAATACACTGCATGGAAGACTGTAATTTATTCAACCAGTTCTCTAGGCATTTGGGTTGCTTTTAATCTCTCACTGTTATGCTGCAATGAATAACCTCCTGCATAAATGTGCAAGTATACCTGTAGGATAAACTCTTGGAAGTGGCTTTGTGCTTCCCCAATTAGATAAATTTCGATGAATTGCCCTCCATGGGGATTGTACCAGCTTATGATACCAGGTCCTAACCAAGACCAACAACCGGGCTCTAATAGCAAGTTATATTTTTGGACCTTTGATCATCTGATAGATGAAAATCTACTTTACGTTTCTTCTAGTTTGAGTGGAGAATGAGTTTGAGCATCTCTTCATACATTTATGAATCATATTTCCTTTTCTGCTAGCTGCTTGTTCATATTATTTGCCCATTTTTTTTCTTTTTTTCTTTCTTTTTTTTTTTTTTTTTTTACTCTTCTCCCACAATTTATAAGATTTGGCTGTTCACATATTAGAAGAACTTGGTCTCTGTGATAGAACTTGCAAGTGTTTTTCCCCTAGTCTGTGGTTTGCCCTTTGGTTCTGCTTATGGAAATTTTTCCATACATATGTATTTCTTAAGATAGTTGAATTTATCAATCTCTTACGGCTTTTGGGTTCTATGTCTAGTAAGGAAGGACTTTCCCACTCCAAATTCAGGAAGATTTTCGGGGTTTTGTTTCAGTATGATGTTGAATCTAACTAACCAAGAGCACAAATACCTTTTATTGTGCCCCTGTGAAATATTTAGTTTTCTTCTTTATCTTAAAATTTTTAAAGTCTGTTCTTGGATATTTTATCTTTATTGTTGCTGTTTTAAATGGGGTCTTTTTCTTTTCTCATTTTCATTTGTTTTCCTATATGAAAGCAAAGCTATTTTCTCTATATTAGTTCTGTACCCATCTCTTTCTTTACTGCCTTTGTTGAGAGTAGCACGTTATCATTTATATCATATCCATATACAGTGATGATTACACCACTTCCTTTTTAATGTTTCAACTTTTCCTGTTTTTCTAATTGCCTTGGCCAGGGCCTCCAGAACAGTGCTCACTAGTTGTATAAGTGGTCTTAGTAAACATCCTGTTTGTTCCTGACTTCAGTGAGCATGCTTCTAATGTTTCCACATTAATTATGGTGCTGAGTTTTTAACCAAGATACATGTACTTTATAGTGCTAGGGAATTTTTATTGTTTTTAGTTGTTTTAAGAATGAATGTTGAATTTAATTGAATGCATTTTTGGTGTCCGGGGTGTGATCATATATTTACAGATCTTCCTTAGTATTCAAGAGTTGAGATGGTTATTGATGAGCTTTTCCCCTAAACATGTACATTACGGGTTTATACAAGATCTTGGGCACTATTACAGGTTATATTCTGTGGTAGAGGAAACCTTGGCTCTAATGTTCACTGCTATACCTTAGCTTTTAGAATAGTGCCTGACACATGAAAAGTGTGAAATAATTTTTTGAAGAAATGAAATCTTCGCTTCTTTGAGAATCTAATGCTGTCTATGAAAACTAATACCCAGACTTGGTTAGTAGGTATACTTGAGGAGGGGGACACTCTGCATTTCAAAAGGATTTCGTTTTTCTTTATAAAAGGATTTACTTCTTTTACATAACACACACTTCTTAGTGAATTTTAAGTAAAGATATATGGATAAAATAATTCACTGAAGTAAAATAATTCAGATTGTACTTTAAAACCTTGCATGGGTATGCACTATACTAAATACAGGGATATAAATGTGAATAACTTACAGTCTTCACAAAGTGGAAAATATAGGCCAAGTATTAAACCTAGTACATAAAGGTACAGATATAGGTACAGTGCTTCCGTATACAAAATGTAGTCATTATACCGCCTACTGTCATCCTAACAGGATAGCAGGGAACCTCTGAAACTGTTCTCTGATTTGTTAGTATTTTGTGAAAGTTTATTAATTGAAAGCTCATAAGAAACCCTACATTGTATTTAGTTCAGCCCCTTTTTAGGGGTGAACTTGTAATGCCTTTTTCCTTTAAAAGTTTTAACTAATTCAGCCTTTGGTATTTTATCATGTTTCTTGGAGGTATCATCCTCAGAGTGTTGAATACTTGAGAATTTCTGAAAATTGGGGTGTCTGGGTAGCTCAGTCAGTTGAGTGTCCAACTCTTGATTTCAACTAAGGTCATGATCCCAGCCAGGGCCATGGGATTGAGCCCCCCATCAGGCTGCTTGGGATTCTGTCTCCCTCTTTCTATGCCTCTACCCCGTGCTCACACACTCTCTCAAAATAAATAAACATTTTAAAAAAAAGAGAATCTGAAAATCCTAATAACCCATTTCAAATAATTTCAGAAAATCCATCTCCTTAACTTATAAATCATAATATTGCAGGAAATTTGAAAATGATAGAAAAGAAGGAATTATTCAAGCTGATCTTCCTATTACACCTTTTTATCAACTACTTGTAGGCTTTTCCAGTCCTTTTTTCATGTTTATGGTTTTATCTACTTGAAATGATAGTATCTGGTTTTCTTTTTTCTCCAAGTACTGAACTATGCACTTTTTTTTTTTTTTTTTTTTTGCATTCCCACCTCATCGGTTTGAACTGAGGTTTCAAAAGACTGGCTAATCTTCTAGCTCTTGGGTAGTAGTTAGTGTCTTGGTTTTAAGTCACTTTAATCCCCAAGATAAGTGTATGAGTGAATGCTTATAATCAAAGCACCTTGTATACTAGAAAACATGGTACAAGTATTGTTAATTCAGATGTTGGGGTGATTTCACAGATCACATCGTGGGAATAAAATACTGTAAAGAGTATTTTCATATACAAAGAAAGGCAGATCTGATCTGTTCATGAGGTCAGCAGTGTATAAAAGGTGCCTTTAAGTTCTAAATAATAGTAAATTTCCATATATCTGTGATTTTACCATTTCAGTACATACTTTTTTGGCTTCTTTTGATAAAACTCCTGAGTTAAAAATATTTAAGTATCCAAGACAGAGCTGTGATCATAGCAGTTACTTGTAATAATTTATTAATGATCCTCAAGTACAGACTGATTTGTATCTCTCTCTCCTGCTGTTGATTTTTTTTTAAAGTAAGACTTTTGGTGACAGCTTTATGTTTTAGTGCGTGCCTTGAGCATCATAATGATCTTTTAGTTATTTTGAGATCATTTTGCAATAGCAGCAGTATACTATTCCTTTCTTCTGCTGAAAAGCCCTGATCTTCACTTCGTCTTTTGTACTTTTCTTCTGCTTCTTCGTTTCTAACTTCCCAGTTTAAATTGCATTTTGTTTTTAACTTCCCAATTGAGTTCAGCAGCTTGCTGCCTTTATTAAATAGTAAGCAATATTAAAATTGTGGCATTATTTTTAAAGTTTAAATATACTTCAAATATTAGAGGGGAGAGTATTTCACCTGGTCAGAGAGGCTTATGCAGTTTTTTTAGGGCTGTTTTACAGCACTGAAGCAATATGCCAAGGAGCTACCAAATGAGCAAATATTACCCTTCAATTCTTAGTTTTGCACTTGATTAATTGTGAGGAACAGTTTGCTTTTATGCAGTGCTTAAGAAAGTACTTGTTCTGCCACCTTTACTTCTAGAAAATCTCGAATGTCATTACTTCATATTTTTCTTGTCTTTGTTTTGTCCGATAAGCTGCCAAATGGTGTCACTTACCATACCGGAACGTATCAAGACCGGTTGGCAAAGCTACAAGATCACCTTCGCCAACTATCTATTCTCTTCCGGAAGCTGAGACTGGTTTATGACAAATGCAATGAAAATTGTGGAGGGATGGATCCCATTCCAGTGGAGGTAAGTGTTAGTGGTTGAGGAGTGATGATGTAAGATGCAAGACCTTTGAAATGTTTTCCTGTCTCTTTGTTTGCACAGTATTTCCAGACTTTGAATTCTATTAGTTTTACTTTTGACTAGAGAAGATGAAAATAGAATATGTATAGGGCGCCTGGGTGGCTCAGTCAGTTGAGCATCTGACTTCAGCTAAGGTTATGATCTCACAGTTCGTGGGTTCGAACCCCTCATCAGGCTCTGTGCTGACAGCTCAGAGCCTGGTGCCTACTTCAGATTCTGTGTCCCCCTCTCTCTCTGCCCTTCCCTGTTCATGCTCTGTCTCTGTCTCAAAAATAAATAGAATATTTTTTTTAATTAAAAAAAAAGGAAAATAGGATACGTATGCATAGAATTAGTACTATCTTTTCATGTTAATAACTTGTAGATTTTAACATCCAAGCTTAGAGTGAACTTTTGTTGTTAGAGAAGAGAGTGGTCTGTGGCAATTTTTATTATTGTTGCTGGTGTCTCTTAAATCAGTGCGCGATTTTTTTTTTAAGCAGGAATTTTATATACTGTTGTAAAAATCCTTTTAAAATAGTTTTCATATAAGCTCTTTACAGATGAAAGATTATGTTTTCATCATTATTAATTTAGGTTGGCTGAGTGGAATCACTTTAGTTGTAAAGTATATTTCTTAAACTTACTCTTGGGTCATAGATATATTTAGTTCACTAGGTTTATGATGTTTTCATAGGTGGCCCTTTCCTGTTGACAGGTTCAGTCTCTGCCAACACAAGTAGCTGGGAAGGTCTGGAAGTCCTCACTACATATGGAAAACAATTTTATGTGTTGAGCGCTTCCTTTTTGAGTGATCAGCATGTAAAGGATGAACAGAGAAAAGAGTAAACTGCAAAACAGCCTGAAAAGCAGTGGTCAAAAATATAGAAGAAAGATCAGAAATGTGGTTGACATTGTCGGATGCTGCAGCGAAGGGAAACAAAGAATGAAAATTGTCCAGTAGATTTTGCTAGAGGGAAATCATTGGTCTGTATGAGCAGAGCTTTGGTGAGATGTTAGCAGCAAGAAGTCAGATCGCAATGGGTTGAAGATTAAACGGGAAATAAGGAACTAGAGCCAACAAGTAGACATTCATCTTCAAAAAGCTTAGATAAAAAGAGGAAAACCGTAAATGGAAGGAAGTTTGGCATCAAGGGTTTTGGGGAAAGGAAAGGAAAAGAGCCTTTAAATGAGAGAGACCAGACATGTTTAGATTTTATAAAGGAAGAAAGCAGTAGGGAAGAGAGACTGGGGGGAGGGTGAAGAAATGAGAGCACATTAATCATCTTCAGGAGGGAGGACACCTCTGCATTGGGAAAGGAAAGGAAGACAGATTGGTTGTGGAAGTGGATAAGTTTATATTTGTCCCAAGAACAAATATAAGAAGAATCTGAAGAAGTTTGGCCAGCTGACTCCTGGTTGTACCATGTGTTCACCTCTGGCTGTTCTACATTGTTACTGTAAGATGGTAAAGACCGAATGATTCCTGAAATCTCTGTCACTTTTATGAGGGGCTTCATCAAATAAACCTTATCAGAAAACATATATGTTTCATTATTAATTCTGCTAAGTTTCATTGCTATATAATTTTTTTCTCCTACAAGAAATCTTTCTCCCAACCAGTTAAGACATCTAGAAATATGCATAGATGCTGAGGTTCTAGTTGGCAAAATAAATGACATTTATATAATGCACATTCATGAAAGTTCCTTTCTTTCTAGTATAGATGAAAAGAAAGTCTGTTGTATCTCAATGGACCATAAAGTTTTTAGGGCCAGGAATCACACCTTACTTGTCATTATTTTTGTAGTATCTCACTCAGTGTCTGGAAACTTAGTATTTGCTAATTGAATGGATAAGGTATTACTTAATTGTAGGCAACAGCTAACATTATAAGGGCTGTTTTGCAAAAGAAACCTGAAAAGCTAATGTGTAGAAGGCACTGAAACTATAAACTTCTAATGCTGTTATTTTAGGCTATTACTTGAATTGAAATTTATTTATATACCAATAAAAGGAAAACATACAGACTAACCTTAATCAGAGACATTTTGTACACCCATGTAATTGGAATGTTTTAAAAATATTTTTAACTTTTAACTCGGGTCTTTCATTCTCAGCAACTAATTCCATATGTGGAAGAAGATGGCTCAAAGAATGAGGACCGCACTGGCCCACCTCGTTTTGCTAGTGAAGAGAGGCGAGAAATTGCTGAAGTGAATAAGGTGAGTTATCAGTCTGTGTACCTTATATTTCGCAATCATGGATAGAAATTACAAAGGCATCAATGTAACTCAGAGACATAGTTTGCATTCTAGAATTATGTGAAGTCGTTTCTGTGACAAATATAACCTAGTTAAGAGTATAACCAAGAACTAAAAAGGTAAGCAGAAAAGCCACCTGAATAACCAAGAGAGAGATTACAGAATTCATGCCATAAAGCTCTTAGAAAAGCTTCATGGATGGGCATTCAGTCACAACTCAGTTACTCTTTTCTTTTCCAGGCAAAAGTCTTGCTTTCTAGCTTATGGCATATTTGGAGCAGCAAATGATAAAAATTTACAAATAGAAAATTTTGCATTGCATTCCCTATAATCTCCTAACCCAGTACATAGCTATGTGATTTCCCACTTGCTATAAAGTAATTGGATTATAAGATCCTATTCACATTTGCAACAACAAATATTTACTTAGGAACTACCTCAATGATATATGTGACTAAACTTGTTAAGATACATAAAAGAAGGGTGCCTGTGTGGCTCCATCGGTAAGGGGACTCTTGATCTCGGCTCAGGTCATGATCTCTTAGTTTGGGAGACTGAGCCCTGCATCAGGCTGTATGCGGACAGCACAGAGCCTGCTTGGGATTCTCTCTCCACCTTTCCTCCACTCGTGCTTGCTCTCTCCCTTTCTCTCAAAATAAATAAACTGTAATAAAAAATACATAATGGAGTTTTGAATAATTAAAAGAACATAAAGTTCTTGTATGGGCAATAAATATTCTTAAAATGCCAATATTAAGTATGAATTCTCTTAAAAGTACACAAAATAATAAGATGTTAGTGTAATACCAGTGAAAAAACAAATCCAAATAAAATCCAAATTGGATTTTTTTCTTGCAAACATACTAAAACATCAAAGAAAATTCTCAGAGAGTAATGAAACAGATCTCTTTGCTTCAAAAATTAAAACACAGTATGGAGAATATTATAAAAAAAATTGTGAAATACTGGTATAAGACAGATTAGTAGAATAATAGCCAGAAAAATAGTCTTCTTATTGTATAGGAGAATGTATTATGACAGAAGAGGGATTGTATGGAAAATTTTTCTTTAAAAATAGAAACTTTGGGGAGAAGTTAGCTTTTACATTATGCCATATGTCAAAATTAATTTCAGAGTTGAAAATAAGACCTGAAAAACAAAATATTGGAAAATTAAGAGAAAAATGTTATATCAATACTCAAGACAAAGGAAAAAGCTGGATTTTATAAAATTTTCATTTTTTTCATAAAAGAAATACAGATTAAGAAGATTTCAAGCAAATTTGACAGTCATGAATAAGCATAAGAACTTAACAGTAGGAAATTTGTGGGGGCTGAGGAGGGGATTGGGAACTTTTAATTTATATCTTAAATAATTTATATTTATATTTAATTTATATCTTTATATAATAAATGGTGTTTGGTAGTCTGGAGATACAGGCATTCATTTATTAAGTGTTATATGTTTCTGTTGATAATTTATGCATTAATTCATAATAGATGTGCTCTGTTACTATTTTCTGGAATAAACTTTTTTTAATAAAATACAATGAATTATGAATATAAAGAAAACAGCACTGTAGCAGTAACTTTGATTTCAGACTACTACATGTGACAGAGTTTGTTCTCTACCATAGAAGGTTTTCTATTTTAGAGGGGAAAAAAGGCTGTGTAAATTAAAATATAATCTTTCTTAATAGGTTTCATTTCACTTTTCATTACTCTGAGTTCCTCTTCTTTTTTTTTTTTTCCAATTTTAAGACTTAGAAATAACACTTGATTTTTTTAAAAAGATCTTTTATATAATCAGAATACAGTAATACTTTGACCATGTATAATCCAAAAAGTTCTATCAGCTATTGATTTAGAATTTTGTGAATTTTAAGAGAATGATATAATTGATACAAAGGGTAAGATATATAAAAATTTTTTTCCCACTTGAGGATTTAGCTTTCTTCCAGTCTGTCCCTCTTCCAGGGACCCACCTACATATATTCCCCCAATCTTTCCAATACAGTTAGAATTGAGGCTCAGTAAATATTCTGTGTATTATTAAGGGCATAAATGTTGTTTATTGCTTAGCCACATATTACACTAGTGTCATTTCCTTGAATGATTTTGTTCACCTGGAGTTAATAACCTCCACGTTAATAGTTTTTTTTAATTTTTGGTTAGTTCTTTATTACAGCTGTAGTAGCACCTCAGTACTGTTATCCAACTTTCCACAGAGTCAGAATTATCAGACAGTTTATTGGTTCTTCCCCCCGCTCCCACCCGAGTCCTCCCATCATCTTGCTAGGTCTGGACTGAATGCTCTCTAGGCCTCCTGTGTAGCATTGTCCTGGGGCTTCCTTCACCCATTCTGTAGGCTTCACTGTTCCCTCAGTCTCCTGTCTTCCTTTCTCTTGGTTTACTGCCTTGTTGGTAAGGTCCAAACATCAGTGGTTTCTTCAGAAGGAATGTAGGAACTTAAGTTTTAGTCTTCCCATAGCTGTCCACTTGATAGTTTGGCTGGCTATAAAAGTCTCTGTTGTGAATTAATTTCCCTCAGAAATTTGAAGGTATTCTTCCATAATCTTCTCAAATAGGGTTTGGCAAACTTTATAGGACCAGATAATAAATATTTTAGGCTTTGTGGGACATACGTGATCTTTGTTGTGATATAAAAACCATCCTTAGCTCACAGGTTTTACAAAAGCAGGTCATGTGTCAGAGTTTGAAACCCCTATCTGTTTCATTTTGTTCTCTTTCCAAATTGAGGCTCTGAAAGATCTGGTGAACATCTGATGTTTACTCATGAGCCATTTATATTTAAGAATGAGGCACTAGAAAGCTAATAATAGGCTTTGTGAGTGGACTTCTTGTCAAGATATATGTTCTCCTTGGGGGACTCCCAACTCTAATTTTCTTAAGTTTTTTTTTTTTTTCTTTAAGTTCAGTTTCTTCAGAGAAGAATCTTCCAGTGTCCTACATAGAGAGATATGCTCTTGTCTTCTTGCATTCTGCTGTGCTGGTGGCACTGAATCTACAGCCGTTGTGCTTCAGGGTCATAAGAAACAAACCTGATCCTTAAGAGGTGGGACAGGGCACAGGAAGAGGGTGCTCAGTCACCTGTCTGTAAGGAGTGAGTGAGCACCGTGGGCTCTTGCTAGTCCCTGGAGCTCTTTGAGTTGTTCCTCCAGTTTTCCTGCCCAGGCCTCACCTGGTGCTGTTGCCATGGCACCCATCTCCAGTCTCCATGGAGGAGCAGTCTCCCTGCTCTCAGTGGCATTGTCACTACATCCACCTGGGCTGTAGTGTCCTCCCAAGTCATTTACCACTCCCTCCCCTTCTACTTGTCCCCTTAAACTTTACCACCTTGCATCTGCCGCTGCCTCCTTTCTGATCATTTTTCTCCACATGGGTTTATAGCTTTTTCCATTTATCACCTGCCATTTTATTAGGGCTTTGAGAAAGAGATAAGCACAGGTATTTAGTCCACAGTGTTTTTCTGCAGCAGGTTTATTTCAGTACACAGAATAGATATACACTGTTTCTGAAGGTTTGTCTATGGAATAAATGCCCATATTTTAGATTTTATGTTCCCATTTATACTTCAGGCATTTAAGAACTTTGTTTGATTAAATTATTTGAATGCTGATTTTGTTGTTTTAAGTCCTTCTAACTTTGGGGTAAAACTGGTTTTAGTTAACATAGTGAAGGTCATTACAAAGAAGAAAGAATCGGTTTAGATGTTTTAATTAAACAGATTTAAAGCTTAGCCCTAGATTTCTATAGGAGCTGTTTTTTAAAGGAGAATTTAGGGGGAACTTATCTTTAGTGGCAGGAGAAATACTCATTTGATGGCCTCATACTCCCTCTTACTTCCTAGAACTGTTACTATATTCTGAAACAGTACTGGAGAATTAGGTAGTAAACAGAGGTTTAAACAAAAAGGGAGGAGGGGGGTCTAAGATTTGGTTAACTCAAACTGAAATCCAAACAATAAAGAAGCCAGAAGAGAATAAATAGCTAACAGTAAGCAGAGTGGATTTTTTTTTAACCTGAAAAGAGGTTTTTAACTCATTCCTGAAATAAAACATTATAAATGTGAATTGAATGTAATACATATCTTGATTCTTAATAAAGTTCTATGTGATTAGTGCTACTAAGAGTATTTTTTCTTTTCTGCCAACTTCATCCAACTTTGTACTTCACTTCTAGAGTACAAGATAAAAATGTGTTATTGAAAAACTTTTAATGTTTATTCATTTTTGAGAGAGAGAATCCCAAGGAGGCTCTGCGCTATCAGCACAGAGCCCATCATGGGGCTCGAACTTAAAAACTGTGAGATCATGACCTGAGCCAAAATTAAGAGTCAGACATTTAACTGACTGAACCACCCAGGCTCCCCTAACTGAAAATTTGTATAACACTGAGTAATTTCAGTATCAATGGATAGATTTTTCTGCCTTGATGGCACACACACCTGAGTGTTTCTGTGAAGAATATCATATTTTTTTAGAATTTTTCTTCAAAGCATTTATATTCAAGTGTTATTATTGAAATATGTGGGAATTATCCACCAAGATCAAGTGGGATTCATTCCTGGGTTACAGGAATGTTCAATATTTGCAAATCAATCATTTTGATACATGACAACAAAAGAAAAGGTTAAAACCATATGATCCTGTCAATAGATGCAGAAAAAGCATTTGACAAAATACCACATCCCTTCTTAATAAAGACCCTAGAGAAAGTCGGGATAGAAGAACTTACTTAAACATCATAAAAGCCATCTAGGAGAAGCCTTCAGCTAACATCCTCAACGGGGAAAAACTGAGAGCTTTCCCCCTGAGATCAGGAACACGACAGGGATGTCCACTCTCACCACTGCTGTTTAACACACTGCTGGAAGTCCTAGCATCAGCCATCAGACAACAGAAGGAAATCAAAGGCATCAGAATTGGCAAAGAAATAGTC